TTATATTACCTATCAATACTTGTGACACAATGGTCGATCAATAGTATAGCAATGATAAGCTGACAACTCCGTTACTTTTATTATCTGTATGAACTATACAGTATTCCGAAACACTTTCAAAAGTTATGTTGAAAAATTAAACTTTTGTGATAAGTTGTCTTTCTCTATGTGGGCAAGTCATGGGTCAGATTAAAAAAATATATATACCCAATTGATAGGTAAAGACCTAATATATCTATTAAAAAAAAAATGTATTGATCCATATATTTTTCAAAAAATTATAGCATTATAAAGTTTAAAATATAATAAAGAATTTTTTTACAAAAATCGTACTTTTTTTATTATTTTTGACATCAGTTTTCACCATAAAAACAAAATAAAGTCCGAAATTTTATTTTTCTATAATAAAGTATATTACATAAACTTTAATTTAAGATATATATAAAACTGTCAGTATTTCCGGAACTTCTTTAAAAGTTAAGTTGAAAGAGTTATTTTTTTGTGAAAAAGTTGTAATTTTAAATCCCCCCCTGTGGGCAGATAAAGAATTAGATTTATATAAAATTAATGCCAAATGATATGTAAAGACATCAAGCGTCTATAAAAAAAAAAATTTACTGATCCATACATTTTCCGAAAAGTTATAGCATTATAATGTTAAAAATATAAAAAATAAAATCGAGAATTTTCACACGAAAATTCATTTGGTAGTCATTTTCACCAGAAGACAAGTTCAGAGGTCAAACATTTTCAAAATTTAAGTTGAAAAAGTAAATTTTTATGTGAAAAAGTTGTCATTTTGAATCCATTCCTATGGGCAAGTATAGGGTCAGATTATCAAAAAAAAATAGGGTAAGTTCCCCAACTTAATCGCCCTTATTATAAAAAATAATATTACAAAATATTTAATTATTTGTTATAAATATTTTCAGAGATAATTTTTGCAGATTTTTATGTCAATGCAATAAGTATATTTAAAAGAAGGGTTTGTCTTTCCCAAAAGAAATATTCTAGCTACCAACGGCTGATGATAAATTATAAGTTCAATTACTTAATAGAAATAATAATTAACCGACGAAGAACAAAATAGTTGAATCAAGAATGAGTAAAAGTTTAAATTTAACATATAATGTGAAAAACTCATGACATTACTATTTGTTTAGTTGTTCTCTGTTCTACAAAGAATAGTTACTCAATAACTTTATTATATTTTTGCAATTACACCAATTAAAATTAGTTTATTTGTATGAGGCTATGTCAAAGAAAATTTTAAAATTATTCAAAGTCATTTTGAAACATTCATTATTTATTAAACAGATTTTAATAAGTTTTGATAAATTTTATCATAACTTTTCGTTATCTCTAATACCCGTTTATGTGATACTACTGGGATTCAAGGTTAAGCCATAGTTTTTAATTAAAATTACTAATATTTCTGCAATTAAATTCACACTACGAATTATTTCAGATTTATACTGATTTTTTTATTAATACATTATACTTCATAATGTCATCATATTTTGGGAGTACAATGGTACTTAATATATTAGTATTTCAAAAAATTACACAGCTGGTTTAAAATCGTGTTTGAATACATTGCCATTAAAAAAAAACCCAGTACAGGGGGGTCGCGGCACAGTAATGACGTGGCATAGTTGGATCAAGTATAATGATATCTGAAAGTGATTGCAATCACTATCAAAAAAAAAAAAAGCTCTAATGTAAATCTTTAGATAGTGTGTAATTTTAAAAAATTGGTGGATTATTCCAAAAGTTACATGATCTGCTAATTCCTTATTAATATCCCTGATTAAGATAAAGTATGTCGAATTAAAATGGGATTATTAAAATATATTATTTCTCATAAAAAAATTGTGTGGATACATACACTTTTCAATAAGTTATAGCATTATAAAGTTAAATATAATATAAAAAATAAAATCGAGAACTTTCACACGAAAATAGCATTCGATAGCCGTTTTCACCATGAAGACAAGTTCAGAGGTCAAATTTTTTTTTTCAAATTAAAGTATATTACATTAGCTTTAATTTTAGATATATTTAAATGTGTCAGACTATCTTGAACATTTTCAAAAGTCAAGTTGAAAAAGTTCTACTTTCTATATGCATTTTTATGTTTTAAACCCCCCCTGTATTAAGGGAAATGGTCCGATTTAAAAAAACAGTATGTCGAATGAAAAATGTATATAAATACTACTTTTCATGAAAAAATTGTATTGATCTATACATTTTTCAAAAAGTTATAGCATAATAAAGTTAAAAATGTAAAATAAAAAATCGAGAATTTTCACACAAAAATAGCATTTGGTAGCCATTTTCACCGTCAACACAAAATAAAGTTCCGAAATTTTTTTTTTCCATGATAAAGTATATTACGTTAGCTTTAATTTAAGATATATAAAAAAGTGTCAGTATTTCCGGAACACTTTCAAAAATTAAGTTGAAAAAGTTAATTTTTTGTGAAAAAGTTGTCATTTTAAAACACCACCTGTGGGCAGGTATAGGGTCAAATTTTTAAAAAATATATATCAAATGATAGGTAAAGACATTAAGCATCTATAAAAAAAATAATATTGATTTGTTCATTTTTGAAAAAGTTATGGCAGTTTTAAGTAAAAAAAATTTCGAAAATTTCGAAAATTAGCGATTTTTAAATTTGTAATTTTTTTGGAGGTTTCCCCCATTTACGTGAAACGAGGGAAATTTTTTCAATTTTTGAGGGTAATTTCTTTAACTAGATACGATTTGGAATCTTTTGACGTATCGTTGAAAGAAATCCGTTCGGTGAGAGCTGAAAAAAAGTAGTAACAGATAAAAAAAAAAACACATAGTAAAATTAATACCTTCTCAGCTTCGCATCTAAGCTAAAAATTTCGAAAATTTCGAAAATTAACGATTATTAAATTTGTAATTTTTTTTGAAGGTTTCCCCCATTTACGGGGAACGAGGGAAATTTTTTTAATCTTTTATGGTAATGTCTTCGATTAGATACGGTTTGTGATCTTTTGACGTATCATTGAAAGAAATCGGTTCGGTGAGAGCTGAGAAAAAGT